CGCCAATGGGCATATCAATAGCTGAGAGTATCACGAAATCTTGATCCACATTTAAAGGACATCTCCATAGCTGAGGGTGCCATGAAGTATTGTTTCATGGTACCCTCAGCTATTGATGTGCCCTTTGTCGGATGTATCAAAATTTTGCTTTCACTCTCAGCTATTGAAATGCATTGTGAGGTTTGAGGGTGTGGGTGTGTATGTGGGTGTGAGAGATCACAAGATGGGTATCTACACCTACATCCACATCCACACTCACATCCACATATCCCACACTCACACCCTCACCCTCACACCCACACTCGCACACCCACACTCGCACCTACACCCACGTTCCACACTGGAAAGAAAAGCCAAAAAAAAGAGACTATTGAAAGAACGAAATAGATGCGACAAAGAGCACACTGATGATAAAAACTACCTACGTGATGAAAATGTCATGCTTCGCTGATTCACGTAAACATGTTTAAGTGGGAAAAAACCAAGTAATTTCGTCAACGATAAATACGACGCAAAATTGATTACAAACACACATAACAAACTTGCACACTCCAGTATTATTCAATACGTAAGTACGTTTAATTTCTAACATTATTAGACTAGTGATCAAATTCAAGCTGGAAGTTCAGAGTAACTGCTAACGGGAAAACATGACGGGATATAGGAACGGGACATTTCAGTTACCAGAAATCGATTTTAAGAAAGTTCGACTGAAGATACTGAGCATATGCAATTGATAATCTTGATTGCCACAGCTCTTCCACGTAAAACAGTTCAATCACAAGTCATGCCAAACTGAATGTCCTTTAAAATGGCTAGACTTTACTGAGAATTATAGTGGTACACAATACGAATCTCATTTTTAAGTGGCTAACATGGCAGAGGTGTGGGGTGAGGGTGTTGGTGTGGATGTGGGCATTATTATCATCCTCACAGTCACACCCACACCTCCATACCCACACCCACCCTTATGCCTCCTATACTTCCTATATCTTCTTATACCTCCTAGACCTCCTTGGGTGTGGGTGCGGGTGTGGGGTGTGGCTGTGGAGCGTGGGTGTGGATAAAGAGAAGTGGACACCCACACTCACACTCACACCCACACCCACACTCACACCCACCCACACCCACACCCACACTCACACCCACACCCACCTACACTCATACCCACCCACATTCACACCCACCCACACCCACACCGACCCAAGCCCACACCCTAATTGGAAACAAAAGGGGTGTCCGGAAATTCAAATAAAGTATCATACGCCACCCGCACCTACACCCGCACTGATACCCACTCACACCTACCCTCAATAAGAAAAAACGAGGTTGGAAAGAAGAACATACAAAACACATCATAAGATACTTTGATGCAACTGTAGAAATGAGTGCATTTACACAAACATTGCTGTTGATCGCCATGACTATTTCCTTCTGTTCATACCAATTTTCTATAAATATCTTCCTATCTATACTATATTTGAAATGTGAAGAAATATTTAAACATGAATATGAACTTTTTTTTGTTAAGTTTTTTTCGTTTTCAGATCATTTTGAAGAACTTTCTGAGAAAAAATTGCTGCCATGTTATCTCATGAAATCGTCATTCTATGGTTGGATACTCATATTGGTGTTCCTGGCAGTTATGTTCATCTCAAAGAAGCTTTTTCTACTACTATTGATCCAACATATCCGTATCCGATAAGTCTATATGATCGAGATTCTATTACACTTAACTTGAATAAAACAGATTCAAAACGCCAAAATCAATTTCAAGGTCCTTGTGAATTGCAATTCTTTACTGATGAAGAACAATGTTTGAAATCTATAAATAAATGTTTCGATACAAATAAACAAATATTTTTAATTCTGCCTGATTATGTTCGAAAAGATTTTTTTTTACGTATTTATAATCAACATCCGAAAGAATTTCAAAAGACTGAAAATGAAATATCAATAAAATTTTATATATTTATCTTTATGCTTGAAATCGAAGAATGGTTTTTTGATTATGAAGACTATCTTCGAATTTATTATCATGAAGCCGAACTTTTGTATGCATTAACACGAGATATAGCAATGTATTATATGATGATTGGTAAAAAATTATGTAATGAAAATACACTTAACAATATTCAGCAAGCACTAATTTATTTTCAATGGGCTTACACACTTATTCTTCGTGGAAATTCTATTTCACCTTATAAAGAAATTGAACTTCAAAATTCTTTAAAAGCAATGATTTATGGAAGTAAAAAAACAATTCATTCTATGGAAAAGGAAAATTATTTGCAATATGATTCAATAAATAATTTAAACGAAAATATTTTTATTTATTCCTTAACAGAACTTAACGATCAAGCATTAAAATTAGCGACAATCGTCAATCAAATAATAAATAAAAATCCATTGTTATTCAATAATTTAGAAGATTTTTTTTTAAGTGTACAATTAGAAAGATACAAGAATCAACATAATTGTCCGATAATAATAGTTTCAAATATCGATCATCAAACAAATATTTTTGAGGAATTATCATCAATACGATCAATCGAACATATTTATGTATTAGATTTAAGTGTACATAAACTAATTGAACAGAACACTTATCGAACACTATTGAAAAAATTTTCGAAAATTCAAAATATTTATGCAAATATGAATTCACTTGTACGCGGATGGATACTGGAACATTCAACAAGATGTGAAAAAATTGCAGACTATTTCAAAGAAAATGGTGATATGAATCAGGCACGGTTGTACTATGAAAAGTCCATAAAACTTAATGAATGTCTATCTGTTTTCATTAAGAAAACGTAAAATGGTATATTGACTGTTTCTTGTCATATATATGAAATGAAAGGAATCTCTCAGAATCGGATACTCCCATAAGAATGAAAACTCACATGCTTCGTGTTACGTAGAGTAGCTCGTGGCGCGGCAGAGAGTGTAAAGGAAATAATATTTTGATAAAACTTAAACAGTTTGAGGATTCATATACCACTTGATGCACATTGTTTATCGTGTCGATATTACAACACTACCAGATTTGTGCATTGACTTATATAGAATTGATCTAAAAGTTATTTATATAGAGCGTCGACTGCTCTTTGATCTGATATATTTGATAATTCTCATCGTGTCAAAATTTGGTCATTTGGGTCGATTTTTCCCAGATTTTTCGACTTTGTGATATTTCGATGCAAGCAATGCTGTGGTTCAAAATGCAGTGCTACTGCTACACGACTTTCCCAGAAATTGTGGCTGATGCCGCTCTATATTTTTCTGCAGTATGCTGACTTTTTGAATTGGATGGAAGCCATGATTAAAAAAAATGCTTATTCTTTTATGTGGGTGACACTCATCTTTTGAGTAAGAAAGTTTTTTCTCGGCCAAGAAATAATATATAACTCTCTATTGAATGAAATAGATAACTTTTTAGAGAATAAAAATAAAAAGATTTTGACTTTCAGATTGAGAGTAAGGAGTATAGGAAGCAACCAATGCAAATAGTCCCTGTCCTATTTCATGTTGTGGGTGATTTTTGATTGCTCAATGGCCATAGATGATTACACTACTGAGATCTAAAACATTGAGGTAACAATCAATATGTTTATGATACCGATAATTTTCCATTGACAGTACCCGTCTCCAGGAAACTTAGGTTCAACTTTTGTTCCTCATTTTCCAGAGAGTTATTCTTGTCATTCAATAGAGTGATGCATTAAAATCTTAGTCGAGAAAAAACTTTCTTACTCCAAAGATGAGGACCGCTTACATGAAGATATAAGCATTTTGTGATCAGTGATGTAGTTTTCAATCATGATTTCTTTTTAACTCAGAAGCCAGTATATTGCAAAAATATATAGAGCGGCATCAAGTACAGTTTCCGGGAAAGTTGTGTATTGATAACATTGTATTGTGAGGCATAGTATTGCTCGCACTGACACGTCATGAAGTCGAAAAATCAGAGAAAAATCGATCCAAAAGTGCAGATCTTGGTATGACGAGAATTATTAAATATACAACATATAAGAGCATCTCAATCTCAATAGAAATAACTTTTAGAAATAATTCTGTATAATTTGATGTACTGATATATCAGTATTGTTATATCGATGAATGCAGCAGTTTTCATCAAGTGACACATAATCCCTTTATTTCGTCTATATATCATTCGATGCGCGGGAAGTTACACTGCATAACAATTTACGTAACTTCCCAATTGGAGCAAGATCTCTAAATCTGGCAAGGTTCTTTTTGAGAAAAAATATGATTCATGAATCATAAATTGAATAGAATGATATGGATTTTCAACACTATATTCTCGAGAAAAAAAAAGAAACGTAGTATGTTAAGAATCATGCTCGACAATAGTTTTTTTCCTGTAGAAATCCTTCATTTAATACTAAAAGTAAGATTTGATGATCGTACTAAGTTTTAAAAATAAGAATTTGAAAGAAAAGAATTTGGTATTGAGAAATAGAATTTTGAGACCTGATCAAATTCTCTATTACTGTATTCATGCGATTATTATCTCTTGGTTTTTCCTTGACGACTATGATCTATCGATATTGATCGTATCGAATGTCGATTTTTTCTAATAGCAAAACAAAATTTTAGATTAACTAATTCGGCATCCAATATGAATTATATATCATTATTGATTTTACTTGGTCCGCCCAATATATTGGAAGATTTTCATCAAAGAGATTTTCTTCATCGAAAATTTTTTATTCACTATTTTTCACGTGATAAGTGTACGGCTGAACTTCAAAAGTATCAAAATGTTTTAGAAATGGATATATTTTTACCACATTCCTCAATTGATCTTATTTCTACTTATCGAAATTTCTTATGTCCACGAATATCTTTCTATGTTTATTGTCAAACAGAACAAATTTTAACAGAGTATCAACAAATGCCAATATGGAGTAGATATGATTTAGTTTTCAATATGAATATGCTTCGCGAGGAACTAGAACGAAGAGCACAGAAACATCTTCTAATTTACATTGAAGATTTGGAAAAACGCAAGCAAGCAGGAGATGCAGATGCTGCTGATCTATTGGTTCCAATTGGAGAGATATTTGAAGAAAATGCAAGAAGAATCAATGAAGAAATTCGGCAAAAATCCTGTCTGAGTGAAATAGCCACTGAATATGAAGAAGGATAATTTTTTGTTTAATCATTTGTATAGTTTACTACAATTATTTTCTATTGCAAGCAAAAAAAGTATTGAAAATAACAAAATGAAGAAAGATAATTACATACCTAGAGTGTGGGTTGGGTGGGGTGGCTGTGGGTGTGGATGTGGGTATGGGTATGAGTGTGGGTGTCGGTATGCGTGTGGAGGTGTATTATACATCTACTATTACACCCACACTCCACCCCACACCTACACCCACACCCATACACCCACCCACACTTCACACTCACCCCCATTCTTCTTCATTCAACTACCCTCACACTCTCAAAATACTTCTTATTTTTATTTAGGGTTATTGTAGAACTCAATATATCAAAGAATGGAACTCTTCATACGGCAGCATGTAGACATCTTTCTACCTATAATTGGTCAGTATGAAGCATAACTCTACTTTTGATCGCTCTTGTAACTTATTCTCTAAACTTATAATTTATAAGGAATTTGAGTTATTTGTGCTTTATTGTATCATATATTTATGAAAGAGATACAACATAAAGATGAGAGGAGAGAATAAGAGTGAGAAAATGAGTCAAGGATGACTGAATAACAATACGCAAATAGCAGTATTTATACATGCACAAGAAAGAGAAAGAGAAAAGAAGAGGAGAAAGAAAAGAATGATGATACAGAGTAACTGTTCACATCAGTTAGTATATGGATGGCAAACCCGTCACATAATTATTTCATATTCTTCCAGTCTATGACAAAATGTGGCGAGATCCGATCAAACTTACTTGTAGAAATACTGCATTGTTACCATGATACAGATTATATTCAATTCCAATATGGTTTTATATGTAACTCAAGTGACTCCACTATAGGAATTGCGTTGAAAGTGCTTTTATTCAATATGTCTTTGTACAATCAAATGAGAAACTAGTTCGTTTTGTTTCACTCATTTAGAAATTTACGTCATCGAATGGTATCAATAGTTGTTCTTCGTCTTTAAGTAAAAGTAATATTATGCACGCCAATCGCATTTCATCTCGGTTTTCGCATGAAATTCAATATTTTCTTGGCCACTTTTGGAAATACATTCAAAGATATGATTGGCAAAAAAAAAGGAATGAAATATAAAATAAATAAAAGAGTTTCCACGCAATCAAGCATAAATGAAGGCAAAGCACAGATTTGAATGAGTTGGACTATTGTTACTGGTAACCAAAATCCCATATAAAGCGAAGAAACAATCCAGAGTTAAAGGGTCATTTTCCGATGACGCCACCAGTTGACCGGTCGATTGAGAGAAATCTTCTTGAAGATCAATCGAATGACTAATGTCAGATTTGCGAAGACAATGGTTGAAATGGGAACAACTATATTGAAAAGAAAGTCAAATTTACCAATTACATAGATATTAAAATAGCATGGAATACCACAAATGATCGAATTAAAATCCCATGCAGTGCTATAAGGTGGACTAATGACAACTGCTATTATATTGAAGAACGATGGCCATGCAATACAGAAAATAGTCGATGCAATGTGAAAAATCTACCTTTTCCATACTATTTGAAAATTTACTTGAGGATGAAAAATAAATACATGTCGTTCGATTGATATCCAAGCCATTAGAAACAATCCTATCCCAAGCAACGAAAATTCATACCAAGTCCACCATACGCAGTATGCATTCGATGCAGGTGAAACAGTACCGAGATAATAGTAACTCATGGACATGGGCATATCTGAAACCAACTGAAAGAAATTGACAACAAGTAAAACGAGCCAGGCATGGTTTTGTGATTTTGAACGGGCTGTACGATTCATAGCAAAGTATACGAAAATAATTATTGAGAGAAGAATAGCTGGAATTTCCAAAGTGACAATAAGAATAAATTTCGCTTTATGCTCCATATTTTCAATGTTATTGAATAAAAAAGATAAAACTGTAGTAATATCAACGGAATGGTTGTTCACTTCTAACAGAAAATAGAAGATAGAGAAATTAATATCTGTGATATAGGAATCTCATCAAAAAATATATCAATAATGCAGAAATAAGAAGCGTTCCATGTGATCATAAAACGCATTTTTGACGCGTTTAAACGCATCTGGAATTGAAACAGCCTCCAAACGCATTGAAATGCGTTCATCATAGGGACGTTTGAACGCGTTGCAAAGTCTTGCATGCTTTCAGATGCGTTTCATGACTAAAACGCATCACAACTGATTTACAGTAGTTTTTAAACGCGTTTCAACACGAACAGCATCATTTTTACATCAGAATGCGTTCATACATGAAAATAATATTAACTTAGACGCGTTTGAATGCAATTGGGTGTGGGTGTGGGTGTGGTTGTGGGTGTGGGTGTGGGTGTGTGGATGTCGGTGTGTGTGCAGATATTCCTTTCATTAACGCCCACACCCACACCTGCACCCACACACCCCACACCCACCCACACCCCAAAATCTTTTTTTTATTTCTAGTCACGCGCGCGATCAGAAATCATCCTGGTGGAGTCGTGGCGACCGTAATGCTCATGCACGCACATGGCAGACTCATATCATTCACATCCCTCAGTAAGGATATGTCAATGAGTCTGATGCAGGCCCAGTCGTGTGTCACGGACACCAAGACGATTCCTGGCCGAGCTTTTAGGGTCTACTCGGAAGACCTGCAGATATTAGGAACCTACACGAAAGATCTTGAGGGTGGGTGTGGGTGTAATGGAACGGAAAACATCACCACCACCCACACCCACACCCAAAATGTGCGTAATATAATACTATAGAGTGAAAACTTTTAGATAAGACTGAAGTACACAGCATACGTTGAAGATTAAAACAAAAAAATAGCAAAGTGAGGAGAAAACATAGGTTAAGGTAAATGTATACATTCTAAGTGGGAGCAATTAATAAGTCTAGTCTTCAGCGTTACACTAGACACCGTTTGAATTTTCATAGCTGAGCACTAGAGGCTATAAGAACTCTCTTCTTTTCATATTTGACACCTGTTTTTTCACCTCGGTCGTTGTCTTAATATCATGTCTTTTTATTCTCATTTATTTTCCTCTCAAACTTGATTTTTTCTGGTCGGAGTTCGAGGATGTTTTATTAGGGGAAAAGCCTTCTTGCATAAATACTTAATCTCGTATCTCTTCCTAATTTCATTTGTATTATGTCTATCATCATTCCTTTCCTCCTTTCACCTCTTGTTTATTCGGGCATCTATGATTATTTATAGGAGAGATCTTCTGTTTGAAAAATAAACAACGACGAGAAAGGTGATCAAAACAACATATAAATTTCCCATTAGAACTAAGTAGTTTTTTGAGTCTTTCGAATCACATAGTGTTCTTTTTTTCTTTTTATACATTGGTGCAGCGATGAGGCGGATTGTAAGGTGATAGTTGAGTTTTCCTGGTTGTTGTCAGTGGTACCCCATTAGTTCCATCATTCCTTCGAGTTTGAGTGATAGTAGTGACACGATTTTGTTTCCAACGATAACATAATTTGAAGCATGTAAAAATACGTATTAATTCCTTTCGAAATGTGCCTGATACCAATGTGTTTGAATAGAATGTTGATGCTGGATATATATAAACAAACAGTTCAGAGATTACTTGACACAAACCTTCAATTGCTTTACGATCGACTGATTTATTCGGTATGTCGCGAGTCAGCGATGTGTATACATTGTTTGACATAAACGGAATTGCAGAAATAAGAAAAATAGTTACTTGTGCCAATAGTATAATTAATACTTGTTGATCACGACTATTTTTCCATCTTTCTCTTCTAGCCACGTTAATTAACGCTCTACGTTGATTTCTCTTTTTGAGACTTCTCCAAATGAATAAAATAGATATAAGCATAATCAAAGATGGTAATGTACCACCCATGATAATTGTGTAAATACCATGATAAATAGCCACAATGTTGTTTGTCATTATGCATCCGACATTCCCTGGTGGTACAATATTGGCATATATCAGTGCATGAACAGGCAAGATCATCCAAACAATGACAATCAAGATTGTTATTCGCCGATTCTTGTTAACTGTAGAAAAATGTCGGATATTAGCATTTTCTGAACATGCAACACAACGATCGACACATGCCATAGCCAGCAACCATCGACATGACATAGCACTCCATTGATTGATGTAGGCACGGGCCTTGCAGAAAGCATTTATGGAGAAGAATGGATTCGAAGAATAGAATTGAGCATAAATTAAAGGTATGGTACCAATTGAGATCAGGACGAGTGCAGCAAATGATGATGCCAGAAAGTCTACGAAGAAACATTACTTATACAACTAATCCTTAAAATAACTTCTGACGAAAAAAAAAACTTTTTTATGCTTTGAAATTGAACGAGTTAGAAAATGTTTTATATCTCTACCATTATCAGATTACTTACAAGTACAACAAGAGTTTACTCGTAAATGTCTTCGAGAGAACAGTACTATATTCATCAGAGAGCCAACAGCACCCAACGAGAAGACACACGATTCAACGTATCTGATAATAATTCGTTGAGCGAAGGCCAGCGACAAAGCTAACGATGATGCCATATATGATCAAATTCTAATTGAGCAAAGAAAAACGAAAGCTTTGTAAGAATAACTTCCAGATATAAAATGAAATTCTTCTAACAGCAACAACAAAGAAATCTCTTTCACACTCTTGTCATTTCTTCTCTTACCTAGTTTTACTAGTGTCAGTTGCTAACATCAATGAAATGAACACAACTAATTAATGTAAAACTCCTCCGTTATTTGTGAACTGTGGTTGACAATATAACTTCTAATTAGTTTTTAGTAAAAAAAACTTAACTGTACGATATAATCTGACTGACAACTAGGTTGAGCACTGATTCATTGTCGAATATAAATTGTAATATAACGATGTAGTATTATTAGCAAATATGAAGAATGAAGAAATGATTCGATAAAAAGTTAAAAACAAAATTAACACGTTTTCTCATATCTGGTTATGACAGAATAAAAGAGGGCACTGCT